TAGATGATTGGAAGATAACATGATAGTCAGGGGTCGCCTCGATAACATAAACATATTCACAATACAATTTTTCTATTTATTTTTTCTAGGTTAATTAATTTTTTATATTTTGTAGCTGTTACTATTTTTTAAAATAAAATTTCGTCAATTGAAAAACAAGTATTTATTGCAATGATAAATATTAGCGAAGCTGAATGTAACATATTGCCAGTTAACTACACAGCAGCATTTGTATACTGCGGTTAACCAGAAAGAACGGGTAGTTTTACTCTGGTTTTCATTACATGAGAACAGATCAATGTGTAATTGGCGATGCTCCTTAAAATAGTTTTGTATTTTATTCATATTTATGTGTAAATATATATATATGAATGAAAAGGAACTTGTCGCCTGAGATCTTTCCAAATAAAACATAAAATTTAATATAAAAAAAAATATTCAAAGAAAAATTCTTTTTTCCTTTATTGATAATCAATGATTACTCATTGATAATTATTTGTCGTCTTTAAATGTTTGGTTTCAACGTAAATGAAATATCAAATATGTTTATGATGACTTTCTGGAGCTCATTCATGTGCGTCTGTTTGTATATATGAAATTAACAATCAACATCACGAGTTCATGGAATAGCAATCTATTTAAGAAGAACATCTAATATGTAGATTAAAGCTTTATTTAAAAAAAAAAGGATTAGATCTTTAGGCTTACATGACAAGACAATAATCTAATGAAATATATTTCTCAATCATTTTTTCATCTTTTCTTTGTTTAGGTGAAACTCTTTTGACTTGTGTTTTCAAAAACCAAGTAATATCATTTGTTATCGATATTGGTTGAAATCGCAAATGAAAATTCATGAAAAAAATGAAAATGAAATTATACTATATAGGTTTTAGTCACTATTGTTTCGAATGCCTTTGAATTTTCCCTTTCAGAAGAGCGATTAAAAACCCTGCAAGACGTATCGAGTAAACCACTAGTCTCGATTGCAGGTATTAGTGCTTGCTTTTTTGACCAGACCCGCAAATACATCTGTTCTTTTTTACTGGCGTATTCGGATTTTCATGTATTAGCGAAATTGAGATTTTTATCACTAGAATATTATCTTTTATTGTTGCTCATGTGCGCAAGTACTATTGAATTTCAACTAAGGCTTAAAATAAGAAATAGCACAAAGTTGTAGTACATGGTCATGGGTAAAATAGTGATATAACAGATACTGTTGAACGTGCTTTGGGTGTAACTCTTGTTCTTGTCAGCATCCTATAATCGAAGTCAAAAAGAAAAGTCTGTATATAGAGAGTAATGCTAAAGTTCTGCAGTAGTTCTAAAACCGATATATTGCTGTGACAGAATGTCACAGACTTCAATACTTTTTTTGCATGATTAGATATATTAAACTGCCTAATGAAAAAAAACTATGCAAGACTTTGATTGAATTTTTTTCAAAGATTAGAAATACTTCAGAACACAACATTTTGGAAAACTCTTTCGCAATTTCGTTCTTAATCTTCATATCAAAATAAGTTTTCTTCAGTTTTTTATCTTATCGACTCCCGAACTTTTCAAGCACCATGCATATACAGTTGTAGATTACAGTAAAGGCTTTCTTTTAGTGTTAAAATGATGAACATAGCACATAGAAGAATAAATATCAGATAATGAGATAAAAACATTCGATTTGCTCGCTTTGGAGTTTACAAAATTATTAAAAAATATGGCTAAATACATCACGTAGTAAAGGACAGGGCTGCCTAAGAACGTGGTTTGGTCCATAGGACTTTTGCACACTGAATCCCGTACAAACTTATATAGGATGCAAGAATTTTATCGGCAAATACTTTGATACCAGATTAGACTTATAATAGAGATACATTTATGGGTTTCTCCAACCATATATTGATCATGTCCATATGCTGTATTATTCCCTGGACTTGGTATCACACGCATGTGAAAAAAGCTCCTTTGCATATAACTTTAGTAACAACTGGAAGTGCTTCGAAGTGCATTCAATAGCATTTTTCACGGGCTACAAAATCCTACAACTTTCAATATTCTTGAGGACGGGTCAAAAAAAAAGTTACAGACCATACTGTTAAAACGATGTCAACTTTAGATACACTATAACATAGTTGACTTATTAGTTGTCTTAAAATCAATAGAAGCTAGTTTGTATCGTAACTCATTGGGTGACGTTTTGAATGGATGACCTTGTGGTATATAATTTGTACAAGAAAAACGGTGAAATCGGTCTGATAAAGTAGGAGCATGGTGTCTTAATAAGTCTCCAAGAAATGTGATATGATTATCTGCCCATGCTATTCTTGACAAAAATGACATGGAGCATCAAATATGATAGGAGGTACATATCATCATCGGATCTTCGTGTTCTGAACTCTATTACATAGTTGCTTTATGACTATTGGCTATTTTGCACTATTAGCCGTAGCACTTAGTGCCACCTTTCCTGTTTCTTTTAGAAAAGCCAATATATAAATGCTTCTGTATTTGCATGGTTCTGAATAGAAAATGTTAAACAGAAGGCTATCGATCAAATCTAATATGAACGTTATAATAATTCGGTGGACAAGAATTCCATACTGTGTGTTTAATTTATTGTTTCAAGAAAAGTAAAAAAACGAAGGAAAATGAGTACTAACATGCCCATTGTGAAGAATAATTATGAACCGATAATAGTGTTTCTTGTTTTAACCAGACTCGTGGTCATGATAAATATGTAGAGGAAGCGCCATGGATTTCGAGTCTATGGGCTTTTTTATTTCAAACTGAATTCTAAAATCAAAAAAACCGCACCAACTTCTTCCGAATCAAACTTTTCTCGTTTGATACTACGTAGTCCCACTAAAAACCCTTAGTCCCCCCTAGTCCTGCAAAGTCCCCCTTAGTCCCCCCCACAAAAAGCTTAGTCCCCGCTTAGTCCCTTGTGCAGGGGACTAAAGCCTATAGTACACAAAGCCACAAGCACACCCTCACCCTCACTCGCGCGCCCACACCCGCACCATGGGTGTGGGTGTGTGTGTGGGTCCCAGACCAACACCCACACCCTCAGTCACTCCCCCCCTCACTCCTAGACTCACGTTTCAGTTTGAAATCAAGTATTATTTTTATTTGATAAATTCAGACTGAAATTAAATAGCCCATAGTATGTGGATTTCATAGGAGGAAAGAAAGAAGAAAATTGCAGAGCTGCATACCAACTCAATAACATGTGGAATCGTCGTAATCTAGTTATTTTCAAAGTTAAAAAGGCTCTGATTATCAGAAATAAATTCATCGAACAAACTTTTACGAAGATGATATTAATTTCGGAAGAATGACTGTACTCTCTTTTACATAAAAGAGTTAAAAAAACGGTTGACGATGCCGACTTTCTGGTTTCAAACAACTGACATAAATTAAAAATACGAATTTGGTAACGATCAATTGTCAATAGTTTTCTGCCACGTCTTGGAATTGATAATAAAATTTTAGAGCCATTAGCATGAGCCTGGCTTATGATGTACATCTTATTAAACTAACGTGGAATATGCTACTCAATTTTTTTTCTAATTTATCCTTATAGACAAATATTACTATGACCCAAGCCGATCATGATAGTTATACAATCTAGTTTGTGTTTGAGGAAAAACTTCTCAGTAATATACTTTACTAACGTTTTTCTCTAATGGTATGCAGAATAATTTTATAAAACCTGTAAAACAAATGTTGTCTTGTTGGGCTAATACTCTTTCTCTTAAATACTTCACACTTTTATCTCGAAAGACAAATATCAAAACACGTGCATGTTAACATGCTATTACCAACCCTTATCATTTTGAATCATCTTAGTTTATTATAGGAAAGCACATATTTCACATATTGATCAAACGACAATGCAAAACAAGATACTCTAATTTTAATCACTCGAAGTAGTTGATTGCAATATATGGTGCTTAGACGGAAAGAGCTAGTTCGTAAGTCTGCAAACATGAAGCTGCAGATATTTGATAGATGACGTTGAATTTCTTCGTCACATTCGTTTTCTTGTTTGAATCCAGCAAGAAACCTCAGGTAAACAGTAGCAAAATGATCAATTAATATAAATTCTTTGTTTTTGTTTCTCAGACAACGATAATTCAATCATGTGTTTAGTCAATGAATCGAAAATTATAGACAAAATTCAAATGACGTGAATCTGGCTGCTAAAAGTATATTGTCGTCATTTCTTGAAACTTACATATATATATGTATAACTTTATTTTGTTGAATCAATTCTACCTGCTTTTCAAGTTGATTTCAAAGTCAATCTGAACATTCTCACATACGCTTTCATCAATACTCCATTGTTAAAAAAGTTCAACCAGATTCTGTGACACAAAATGAGTAACAATTGTAGGAAACTATGCAGATTCAACCATTATTAATCTATTGAAAAACGAATCAGACATAGTTGAGAAAAGGATCGAAGTATATGATTAAGAAAGAGGCTTCAGTTTATTACAACTCATTTTACAATATTTTCAAGATCCAATATTGAACAAACAAATGAGTTTTATTTTTTATTTAATATATGCTATGTGTTCTCATATTTTAAGTTAGTTTTTTACATCATATTTTGACGAAACTCCTCTTCACCTCTTGTGCATTCTTTGATAATGAAGTTCTTGATGATGCTTTGTTCACTTTTAGATAGAGGTATCCATTGAATGGCAAATTTCTTTGTAAAAAAATGGATTGTGATGCTATTCTTCATACGATCTACATTTGCACAACAGTGCGATCAACCTTTGACAACAGCACGGTTCGATTGTTATCCTGAACCTTTTGCATCACAAGAAAAATGTCTGGCTCGTAATTGTTGTTGGAAACCGATGAATCAGTTGTCCGAAATGCTCTCGACCAATGCTCTTGAAATGGACGTGCCTTCGTGTTATTATCCACGAGACTTTCCAACCTATCAAATAAAGACTAATGAATCAACTGCTTTTGGTCAACGGTTAATAATTGTTAAACAAAACTCGACCTATATGCCGAACGAAATTTTGAGTTTAACAGTTGATCTTTTCTACGAAACAGCACAACGATTTCGTCTACGAATTTATGATTCAACGAAGAAACGCTTCGAAGTACCACTTGAAGTACCTGTCGTCAAAACAAAAGTGAATGTCACTGATTACGAAGTTTCACTTAGTCAAGCACCATTTGCCATTCTTGTTAAACGAAAATCGACTGGTGTAACAATGTGAGCATATTTTTCTCATCCTTCACTTTTTTGTCCGCTAGAGAACCGACCAGTAGCAAAGAGACTATTCTTGTGAGCAGAGAAATTTTTCCTTTTTGTTCTGACAGGTTAACTGTATGTGTTCTATCTTAGATTCGATACCAGTGTGGCACCACTCATCTATGCTGATCAATTCATCAAATTTTCAAGTCAACTTTCTAGTCCATATCTCTATGGTCTTGGTGAACATCAGCAACCATTGTTGATCAATGTCACAAATCAATGGAATAAACTAACATTTTGGACTCGTGATACTCCTCCAGTTCAGGACGTCAATCTGTATGGTAAGTATTCACACGAGTCATTTTTTCCTTAGTGAGTAGTATTTGACAATGCATATTGAATGGATGTTTGTCGTCAGGTGTTCACCCATTTCACATCAATGTGGAAATGAAAACCAATATGTTGACTAATTTCCATGGACAATTTTTTCTCAATTCGAATGCGATGGATATCGATCTTCAACCATTACCCGCCATTAGTTATACAACGATTGGAGGCATCATTGATTTGTACTTGTTTACTGGACCTACAACACAAGACGTCATACAACAATATTGGGATGTGATCGGAGTAAAATAATAGTAGTAAAATGATTGATTTCGTTTATTTGAATGAATTCTAGAAACCGACAATGCCACCCTATTGGTCTCTTGGTTTTCATTTGTGTCGTTATGGTTATAATAATATCGATAATTTACGAGCCGTTATTCAAGTATTCTCTTTAAAATGAAAACAAACAGTTGTTTATTTCATACATTAATGTCTTTAGCGAATGCATGATGCCAAATTTCCATATGATGTTCAATGGACTGATATTGATGCAATGTCCTCTCATCTTGATTTTACCTATGATCAAAAGAACTTCAATGGTCTACCAGATCTTGTTCATTCTTTACAGTCTGAAGGTAAACATTATGTCAATATCATTGATTGCGGTATCAGTTCAACACAACCATCTGGAACCTATCCACCATATGATGAGGGTTTGAAAAGAGCAATTTTCATGACTAAATTCAATTCAACTGAACCAATTACTGGAGAAGTAATCCTTTAATTCATATCGATTCAACAAGATCTTAATTCAAGTATTTGTATTTTAGGTTTGGCCAGGTAAAAGCCGTTGTTGAACGTTCTTGATTAATCTTCATCATCATTTGATGTCTAGGATTAACAGTCTTTCCAGACTTTACAAATGCGAGCACTATTGAATGGTGGACACACATTGCTGCTACATTTCATGATACGATTCCGTTCGATGGTATTTGGATTGTATGTAAATATGTCGTGAAATAAAACAATGTATTGAAATATCTTTCTAGGATATGAATGAACCATCAAATTTTATCGACGGTTCTCATGATGGTTGTACGAATAATTCATTAGATAATCCTCCATTTGTTCCACGTAAGTCTTTTTGAAACAAATCAGACTATGAATTATACAGCATTTTCAAAGATGTACTTGGTACAACACTCAGTGCAAAAACACTCTGTCCATCGGCACAGCATGCACTTTCTTCCCACTATAATTTGCACAATATGTATGGCTATTTCGAAGCAAAAGCAACAAATCTGTAAATATTTGACTGTGAACTTTTGAAAAAAAAACAATGACTTAAGATATTTTCTAGTGCACTAAAAGAAATTCGTCGCAAACGATCTTTTGTTTTGTCTCGTTCGTCCTTTGCTGGCTCAGGTCAATATACCGCTCATTGGACGGGTGATAATAGCGCAACATATAAAGATATGTATTTTTCAATTTCGGGTGTGTATGATTCTAATTGATTTTCTATTCATGCAATCTTAGAAACTATGAGCTAACCGCAGTGCAAAATATTATAACATAGAGATATACAAACATACTGACTAGACGAATACTTTGCTTTAGTCAAAATAAAGCTCAATAGTGTTTTATCGCCTTATATTGTAAAATGCTCGTTGCTTCGTTTCTCGAAGACGTCGACGTGGATCTTCTATTTATTTCACATCGATCCAAAAAAAAAATACGGGGCATATTTTGCTGCTTCGTTCCTTACATCAATGGAAATAAAATGTTAGACACTTTTGGAGTCTAGAAAAACTTTCGATAAAAGTATTGTCAATAGGTTCTAAACGTGAACAAAATCATATTTAGAAAACGCATCTACCTGAATAAAATTTTTGCCATACATTTGAATAGAAACAGATACTAATGTTTATTTTTTCTCAATGTTCCAGACATTCTTAGTTTTAATATGTTTGGAATGCCCAATGTCGGTGCTGATATTTGTGGCTTTCGAGATGATACAACTGAAGAATTATGTACACGATGGATGCAATTGGGTGCATTCTATCCTTTCATGAGAAATCACAATGGTGCTCAGAAGGCATATGCTCGATGAGAATAACATTGTTGATTGATTTCTATATAAAACAATTAGGATCAAGATCCAGCTGCATTTTCTTGGACAGCTCAACAGATTATGAAACAAGCATTGATAACGCGATATTCACTGATTCCATTCTGGTACACACTTCATTATCGAGCAGCAATAGCATCAGAAACTCTGTTGCAGCCACTTCATTTCGAGTACGATATTAATGACTTTTCATGCTTTTTCTAACTATGCGATTCTATCAGATTTTTCAATGACAACAAAACACTAGGTATTGATCAACAATTCCTCATCGGTCGTGCTATTCTCGTCTCACCAAATCTTGTTTCAGTAAATTTTAATGCAAAGGCTATACTCTATTTTCCTTTTTTTATAAATATTCTCGAATCTTTCTAGAAAGCAACTACAGTGAATGTTTATATTCCAGAAGATGTTTGGTATCAATTTTCGTCGGGTGTCAAAGTTAAAGTTGTCGGTGTATTTACTGATCTTGATGCTCCTTTAGAAAAGATTAATGTTCATGTTCGAGGTGGTTTTATTATACCTATGCAAATGCCTGGAGCTAATCTGATGGTCGGTCGTGGAAATCCATTTACTCTACTTGTTGCTCAATCAGCTTTGGGAAATGCAAGTGGAAATTTATTTTGGGATGATGGTGACTCCATTGGTGAGCACATTTTCTAGTAACAAAATCAATCATACTCATTTTTTTTTCTTTTGTTTTTATTAAGATTCGATCGAGACAAAAACCTACAATTACTTCGAATTTTCACTCATTTCAGTGAGTAGAATGATTGAAAGACAAATTGCCTGTATTCATAGTTCACTATTGATTAGAATAAACTGACTATCAATGCAATCGTAGCAAATTACAAAGATTCACCAATGCGTTTAGAATTTATTCGTGTTCTCGGTGTTAATAAAACAGTAACGAGTGTGACTGTCAACGGAAAGGATCACAATGACTTTTTCTACAATATTCCTGATCAAGTATGTTCTTCTAGCTGACAGTTTCTCCTTGAGTATTTATGACTGCTCATTAAACTTAAGAGCATAATATTTCATATATTTATTCATTGGTTATTTAAAAAATTGTTACTTGTTTACTGTAAAATACTATGATATCGAAAAACCACTTGAAATACATATACATGATTTTGAAAAACTCTAAATTTTTTTTTTCGGTGATTCTTTGGTCCATATTTTTTTTTTGAGTATTAACAATCGTATAAAATATTCGAAATAGTTCCATTCAATAAATAAATCTGATTCTCTACAAAATATGATATTTCATACAGAAACATGCTGTATCTAGTGTGTGCACCATCAAAAATACAAAAACCGTTAAAGTTCTGAACTCTTCTACCTAGAGAAAGAAATTACTTTTTATTTAATCAAGATGACATGTATACAAAACACAAAGTTCTAAATCGTGCGATGTAAAACTGAATGCTTTTTGCATTTTTTATATTGTGTACAGGTTACACAAGTTGTTTCTATTTCCAAGGCCACATCAAATAGAGAATTAAATTCTTTATCAAAAGGAATTATTTGAAATATTTTCACATGATTATTAATATCCAAAAAAAAAAATCTTGTGTATAAATGGCTCATGTATTCTGGGTTATCTGCCAAAGATGTAAGATGCTATCATTCATTTAACTATCCTCAAAATATTTTTGAAGAGTGAGATTGAAATTACACAAAGAAAATAATCCTGTTCATCCTGACCCCTATATGAAGTCGAAAGGGACTCAGTTATGCCGATTTCTTTCTGTATTATGATGAGTCCTTGACCTTAAAAAAATGACAGACTGATTGTACAGTTCGTCAACTGTCAATAGTTTAAAGAATAGTTAATCTAAGGCGAATGAAGTGGAAAAAGATTTGCGTTTTTACGTCTTATAAGAAAAAGTTCGCGCGATTTTGTATTCAGTGAACGATAAATTCACAGCGAAGTTTGATCACACCCTACATAAGTGCTCTATCATTCGCTAAGGAACACGAGCTACTTGATTGAAGCCAATGTTCGTTTACTTCATGGAGTTCGGTTTGAGTGATTTCCGTTTTTTGGACCGAAATGAAATTATTCAACACCTAGCATGAAAGTCTTGATGATTCCAAAATAAAATACTAGATTGACTACGCTGATGACCTACATCGTATGCCACATTACTAAAATAGAACTTCTAGGAATAGCAAATGCATTTTGATGAATACGGATCAATTATTCGTCTGGTTTTATTTCTAGATTTTGGTCGTGTACGGTCTTGATATGGATATGCTTGCGCAACTTAGTCAAACGATCGAATGGACGACAACAATTGATTAACATAAACAATCAATTGTTTTTTTTATGGATTGCTTTGCCATATAACAATATTCTATGCTTTATATGAAACATGTGTTTCAAAATTGATCATTTTTAATTTGGACATGAGTGTGGATCGATATAAGACAATAAAGGATTCACACCAACATCCTAATTTTATCAGTATGAATAAGCATCTCGAGCTACTACAAGACAAGCATTTCGAGTTCTACCTTATATCTTTATAAAATATCGTTGTGTACGATTCAATATCAGGACTTTTCATTCTCGGAACGATTCTAGTTAACAGATAAACATCTAAGTGTGAGTGTATAAATGCTTTATTCCGTATCGAATGGGACGACTAGAGAAAACTAGACTTCAACCATGTGACAGACGACAAGACAACAGTGATAGGTTTCTCTCAAGAAAAATGAAAAGAAGGGGGTGGGTGTGGGTGTACGTTTGGATGCGTGTGTGCGTGGGTATGATTATGATTTTGAAGAAGATCTTCATCCACACTCACACTCACCCACATCCTGATAATATCGTTAAAAAGACACAACAATACTAAATATCATCAATAGTACTTCCAACACAATTCTTATTAGAGGCATGCAGTGTCTATCTTCTTTTATAGAGAAAACTATACTATACTACTTCATATGCTCAAACAACCACTAATTTATAATCCTCCATATAATTGCTTACAAATTCTACAGACTAGCCGTATGAATAAAATCGGTTTCACTTCAACTCATTTCCGAATAAGTGACAAAAGATCTGTTTCATTTAGACACAACAACGAATCTTTTTCCGTGAAAGCTATAAACAAATAAAAAAAACCTCTTTCCTGCTGTGTCTTTAACGAAAAACCATGATTACATATTCGTATAATCTATATCCATTCATCATCACTCCTGTACTAGCTCCCAAACATCCACCACTATTTCCTAGAAACATAAAGTCTCAGTTTTCACGATACTATTTCAACTATTAATCCACTCTAGTAAGATCACTTTCAAACTATTCACAACGTGGCTTTTTAGTTTTATTTTATTCTTAACAATATAGACCATCGATCTTTTCTTCACCAGAATCTCATTAAAAAAGCTCGATGGTTGACATTTGCATCCAATCATGACAAAAATCAAAATCTATCATACAAAATTTATGAATCTTATTACATTTATTGTTATTATCATCAGCTGATTAATTATGATGCTATCATTATGTTCATTATATTATTATTATATATTGATATTAATACATAGTATTACTGTATTTTTAAGTTTTGTCAATTACAATTGATTCAAAGTCATTATTTTTGATTATGATGTTATAAATATTACAATGATGTTATCTGTCTATGATGTTGAATATACATTCATATTAGTTTTTCCATTATCATATTTTTCGTTTTCCTTTTTTTGTACCATTATCATAAGGTTAACAATCGTCGTTTAAAGATCGAAAAGTTCCTCTCTATTTCTCTTTTCCATATATACATATATTAAATAAACAAAACATGTCTACATTTACAAATTTCACTACATGATATACTGTCATTATTAAGGATTCAATCCTGCTGATTTTCTGATATTCTTAAACTAGAATTTTTTTAAAGAAAAGAAATGTTCGAAGTCCAGAAAGAAGAGTATTTACGATTGTAATAACTCTATATCAATTGCGTATGAAAATATTTATCGAATTTTTTTGCTTTGACGTACGTTATTAGTATATATTAATACATGACTAACATATTACGTGTTCCACAACAAAAATAATCTGATTCATTTTTTATGACCCTTTGCATTTCGATATCTTTTGCAGTATGAATAATTCTGATGTTATTTCACATGCAATATTCACTGTAAGTAAATCACTCAGGCAAATCGTTTCGTGCGCAATGTGTGCATCTTGTATAAATACGTGGGCGAGAGAATGTGTAATGAAAAAAAAAATCAAAGAAAAAGTAGGTCAACTACACAAAATAACGAGCAGTGAGAAAAGAAACAATTCGCTTTACTGTAAAAGTAAAAAAAAACGCATCATTCGCCAAATTAAGCGAGCAGTGTTGCCTACATAACATCAGATCTATTCAGCGGCAACTCAACACAACTTTCTTCGTTTATTGGCTTTTGTTCATTTCGTTTTTGTGAGTAACTTATCAGAATAATATTAAACTCAGAAATAAGTTTATTAAAAGATGCACACATATCGTTAAGATGATCTGTGCATTAGACATAATTGAAATAGACTTGAAATCGATCCTAATGATCAAGCTATCTTTTGAACGATCAATTGACAAACGTTTAATAGTTAGTAGTCTCCTTTAATCGCTTTGCTGGCTTCATCTCAAACTTATTCGTTATTTTAATTAGTCTTAATTGATTGAAGATATTCACATATTTCAAGACTAGTTTGCTTGCTTTTTTTACCAATCCTATACATCATGTTCAGTTAATCAAAAGACGAGTGTTGAACTATCAGCATAATGTACTCGTGACTTTGATAACTGAAGATATAGGAGTGCTACTAACATCATAGCAAGAGCACTTCACTTGTCAAACCCATCTCATTTTTGTTCAAATGTCAGGTACACGCTTAGAGACTTTCTCTTGTTCGACTTAATATGTTTTTAAAAAGAATCAACATGTAATTCTTAACAAAGCGAAATATTTTATTTAACGAATGTAACCTCATCTATAATTTTTACCATTACTTAGAAGCATAGAACTAATTAGTATCAAAAATTTTCATTCTTGACACTTTTTTTAAGTGCTTCATAAACAATTAACCGTGATTGTTCTATGCATATAGGTTATGCTTTGAAAATGAATGAGATCATGTTCATTAAGACTAATCTTCTGATTTATAGAAAATTATACAATGAATCTTTTGAAAAATAATTTAAGTGGAATTGATGAAACTCTACACGATATCAACAAAATATGAAACGTTTATTTTTTTTTTGACTCACAGATTATTTCCTCCACTTTTCAAGTATTATTCTTATTAACATATGGGAAGATAAGACTTTCCAAAAACATATTTTAAGGCACTAATCACAGTTTCCGTTTGAGCATCTTCAAGCGCATTCAAGAAACATCAAAAGCTGCGTGAAAATGTTCAAACAAGAGCCGAGAATAATGCGTTTAAATGTGCTTTTGAAAATTCTTGGCTGTTTGGGCAGCTCAAATTTTGCTGATTCTTCAAGAAATATACCTTAGTTTTGTTCCTGACATTTAATCTATTAAAAAACTTTCTCAAATCCTTATGCGTTCCCTAAATTCTAATAATAGCTCATACTAAACATTTGTTATAATGTAAGACGATTATAGTGATGGAATCCTTCGATTTTCAGGTGTCAGCAACATAACGAGAAAGGAAAAGATTGAAGTCTTTAAGAAAATTTTCATAAAAATGCAATGTAATATACAGAGTATTGCAGGTCAAGAATATATTATTAATTGAAATAGAATGTATTCTGAATGAATCGATCAGAAACTAGATACACATTTTCTAGTATGCGAATAGTATTACGCAAGATGATGTTGCGAAAAATAAGAAGACGCATATATTAAGAACGATGACAGTAGCTTATTTATTTCGGGAGTACTAGTCAAATCCGTGCAATAAACTTCGAATGAGTAAGTCTTTGAAATACGAAAACCTTCGTAATGTGTTCTTCTATAAATAGCATAGTTGTTTGATTTTCAATTTCTAACGAAAAAATAGCATTGTTGTACAACTAAGTGTACAAACATCAATAATATTATCAAAGATGTCCTCCACCAATTCTTTTTTTCTTTCTGTTTGTTAGTACTCAAAGAATACATGCAACACATTATGTATCTTTCTGTTCTATATTTCTAAAACATTATCATTGCAGGATTGCAGTAACTCTTTTCTTTTTCTATTATATCATAATGTTTCTTTTCTATTTATATCATCAATGAATCAAGAATTCTATATAATATGCCAGCAATCAAATTTACAAGTAAATTAATAATTTTTATCATTTAATAAACCAAAATTAGTGTTTTTCGAAATCTTTTTAGTTATATCCGATAAGTATGGCATATTTAATGTCGATGCTTCCTCCTATCCAGATGACCAATTAAATGGTTATATACCAAGAGATCAATATTTACGTATAATATCGAACATTAATCAGCGAACTCGAAACTTCAAAACTTCAATGAAAACATTGTGTCACATTGGCATCGTAATAATGGGAAGTATTCTAAGTGTCACAATTACCCTTTTTACCCTTTGGATAATAGCAGTATTGGCAATGAGGAACATCGCTATATTTATAATATGTCTGTAAGTATTTCTTAGAAAAAAGAAAAGTATTTTAAATAGGTGGTTATACATACATATATATGTGAATGAATGGCATACCAATTGTACAATTACAATAAAAAAAAACAATAGTTTGCATATAAAAAAATATTAGACTAATATCTTGGTAGCGCATGTTTAAAAATGCATAACAAAACGTACTTTTCTTACAACTGTACTTAAAAATAAGACTGACGATTGAAAATAAAAATTGTGTATATTCAATTTCATGAGAATTCGTCAAAAATATTTTGTAATTTCTAACAAAATGAAACAAATTATACACTAAACTTTTGAGTACCAACTGGTGGACGAAGTTTCTGCGAGATTTTATATTTAAAATGAGTAGTGTACATTGTGGATATCTTCATTAGAGCATTTTAAAAAATCTTTAAGGTCATTTTTTACCCATGTTCGTAGTTCTCAACGGAACGACGATAAAATATTTTTTTCATTCCCGTGAGAAATACAGGTGTGAGACAAAATTAGAACGAGAACTGTTGTAAAATCAATCTTTAGAATATTACTAGGTGTCACTTTCAGCTCGATTCCAACATGAATAATCGAAATATTTTGAGGGCCATAAAAAAATCAGTATTCTCGCTCCTCCTTTTTACAATATACATAGTGTACCAAAAGTTCATCAGAGTTATTACCGGAGTGACCTCATTAGAATTATAACTCTTATCTAGATATATGTATCGAAGTCTCTTCTATGTAATACAGAAAGTTGCACTTTGATATCATTTCGCATTCGCGAGCCATTGAGCATTTAAGAAATTTGAAGAGAGTCCCCTTTATTCAGAATACCGGTATTCAAAAGATTAGTAGATGTAACTCGGTTAGATCTATCGAACGACTTATACTTGAACGTAGAAGTGAAGATAATTAATCAAAAATATTATGTGCAACAAAGAAATACATTAGATGAGCGTGCCGATGATGAATCGAATGATATATAGAAGAATTTTATGTTGAATTCCATTTTATTGAACTATTCAACTTTTGACATGACAGCCGCTGATTACTTCTGTTCTTTTTTTACTAGCTGATTTTAATAAAGAGAACGCGAATGTAATGTAGATTGCTGGAATTTCAGAAGCATATGACACTACTAAGAGTATTATGTAAAATTTTCAAATCATTTATTGATACGAACCGGAGATATGTACAATTTTATCGCTGATGATACAGTTGTACAATTAGTATACAATTCATCCTTATGCTATAGTCAAACTTAGAACTCAGTCAGATGACTAAACTCTAAGATAATTATAATATTTTACTAACGCAATGTTGCTTCGTATTTTGTTACAGGGGGGTATTTATGGTTGCGCCTATCTGTGGCCCTATCTTTAGTGTTGTCAGTGCTAATCGAATTGATAAGAGAGATGCGAAACGTTTCAGAATATTACAATCTGATATACAAACAATTGCAGATGAAGAATTTATGATTAGTGATCAAATAGCCTATACTATATGGATCATAGAAAAGAATAGCAAAAGAGCGTCAAGCAAAAGATTGAAAGTAAGTATGCATTTACTGAGTGAGCTTTTTACTACGTTCAAAACCTTTACTACGAACTCGAGACTGTTTATGTTCTTCAGAAGCACTACAGTATCTTTTCTTAGTTGACTATAGAATTTGGTCTTCGAGAGCAGAGAGTAGCATCAACAACAGTATCTTCTGTACGTGAACCAATTAATTGGAGATCAATTCGATTGGATCCACCTGCTGAGACTTCAGTTACTTCTGTGCTTGTGCCAGATTTCGAACAAGCCACAATAGTATTAGATAACGAACAATACTCTCAATATGCAGTTGCTCCAGCTACTCCTCCACCACCATCCTATTATAAAGTTATTGACTCATTTTCAAAAGCAACCTTTAGCAATTGTCCAAAATGTAATAATCAAAAAAGTATATTTAATGCACAATATTGTACACAATGTGGATACGGTTATTTGTGATGGATTCACTGATATGACACACTTATCGCTGAGATTGATTGCTCTTTGTGTCATCATTTTCTTCTGTGTTCTACTTTTTCTCTTTTTCTTTCGCGTATACTTATCAATACTTCTGTATTCATGAATATATCAAAAAATAAACTACAAATACTCAAAAACCTTTATAAAAATCTAATATGTCTGAAAAATATGTTCTATATATTTTTTTTCATGTGAATGCATTTATTTTGATATTGTATGTGTCTTCGTGGAGAAGTAAAACGATTGTTATTATTTTGACTCTTGTGTTACTATCGTAATTGAACCTTTACTTCCATAGTAAAGCAACTGGTCGGTCATCAGGAGATGTTGAGATCGTTCTCTAATTCGAAGTTAATGACTCTTCTTAATGAGACATTAATATTTCTTAGGATCTACCAATAGTTAATATTCGTCACCCATTCTATTGTACATATAACCATCGAGAAGTAGAACGAAGAGTTATTTTATCTTTCTTTCAATATTACAGAACTTATCTTTATCCTCATCTGTACCATACAAGCAGAACTTTTTGAAAACTCAGTTTATTCAGCATTCTTTCGTTTCATTACTCAATCAACACTTGTCTGTCACAAAACATTATATAAGTCGTTGCTAAATATTCCCAAAAGAACTTGGTCTTAGATAAGAATTTATTTTCTCTGCTGAATTTGAAAATAGTACAAATTGTATTTTCTAATAGATGATTCTAATTCTTCGATGGATTGCTTGGTGAATAAACTATATGCATTAATCTTGTCTTGCTTTGTTGAGTTTTTGTTACAGTTTGTTTCGTTTCAACAGCATTCAAGAAATTTTCGACAATGTTGATAATGTGTTCTCAGCTAGCTGCTTCATGAGTAGAATCATCTTCTGAGTGATTTCTGCTCTTGTTGGAATTTTGAAAAAAATCGAAGCAATTTGTGTCATTACTTGTTTATCTCGACGATTTCTCTTGTTGCTTTTAAAAGAATGTCAATAATAGTTCGTTTATCAATTTTCTCTATGTTCAACTGAGAAAACAGTTGCATAATAATAGAAGCAAGTCTGTTTTATTTTGCCAACAGTTAAGGACACCATAAATCGCACCTAGAGTGTGAGTGTGGGGTGTAGGGTATGGACGTGAAGTGTGGATGTGAAGGCATTTCTAACAATACCAACACGCACACGCACATCCACACTCACATCCCACACCCACACCCTCAACTACCTCACATAAATGAATATGAATATGTGCACCCTATTTGAAATGAATTTTATGGGACAAAGACAAATTTCTTTCTTATATGAAATGACCCATTTTCTCCTGTTCATTTTCAGTTTGTTTTTATTTTTTACTACGTGCAGTTGCTATCAGTAAAGTACAGACTTGAAAGAATTCAAAAAAAAGGAAGAAAAGAAAGGTAAAATTTTGTTATCTTATCACAGTTACAAAGCAACCCTTTGACCAAACAAGCAAAGGGTATCATATAACACAATAACAAGTGAAATCTACAATTGCACGGCAATTGAAGTTTCTTCAGTTTGTTTCTTATTGATTATTTGACTGTATTGAGTAATTGATTATGATGATTCGAAAGAGGACAGAAAATTGTTTATAAATGCTATATATAACAGAAATATAATTATGAGACAGATATAGAGTCGATATCGATGAGCAGATTTATTGAATCGATTAACTGAAAAATATTTGACATTTAAGAGAGTAGAGTTGAAGTATTTGTATAATGAAATTGAAAATTTGAGAGTAAGTAGATATAAAATTAGTACCGTAATATGGATAATGCGTTGACCGAACTAATTTCGGCCTATTCCGACTTGTTTTGGTATGGGTGACCAAAAGTTCTAATCGATTCTTTCATTCGATAACTCGATATAGTTTTACTTAACATACAGTCAGGTTTAGCGTCCAACATAACCGCTATGACTAGAAGTTGGTCACGATTAGTCACGAATACTGTAATTATGAGATAAATTTTGTTATTTAATATTAAAAATTTTTGTTTTTTTCCTTTCACTGCAACATGTCCGCGTTACTTTGAACAATAGGCCTGGTATATCTCATCTCCATCGGCAATATACCTAGTTTACGAAAAAAGATCTCTAGCTGCGACAAACTCGAAAAAATGACCGTGGCTCACAGATACGGTTACGGCCCCATGACCATCGTGAACCTGACCATGATCAAACCCTCATGACCGTGACCAAAAAAACGTGGTCACGTCGGGCACTAGTCAGGTTTCTTTTGCATCAATTCAATACATTCCCTATCAAGAGCTTGTAAAATTGTTACTTAGCTATTTCGATACATTGACGGTAGTCATAGAAAAAAGTAACCTTTTTGTATCGAACATCGCTATGAATGAAATCATTTATTAAGTCGTTGTGTTTCTTTGATTAATCTAGAGGTTCATTTGCAGAATGACTATTATCTGAAGAAATGATGATGATGATGATAGTTCGAATCTCTCGCTTGTCGAACAATCAGCAGTTTCATATAATTTTGTCATTTGTGAATAGTCACTACATATAGACACAGAATGCTCAGCTCTTCAGATTTCGATCAAGAAACAATGAACGAAAATACAGGTGGATCTTATCACGTGTTTCCTCTCTCTATCTTCAGATAATGAGAATTTTTTTCTTTTTATAGAACTGCATAAACACTTTCTTTGTGTCTCTATCGTAACATACAAGACTAAAGAAATAATTCACAAATGAAACGATAATCTATATCGCACATTGTAGTTGATCAGGTCAACTGAAATATGAGCCTAGGCTAGATCGTCAGAAAATCTCTCGGAAGTGAATTGATTCACTCGGAACAATACGGATAAGGTCAATTTGGAATCCTAGGATATACTCATCTTTAAACAAACTTGTTGACGATCTTCGATGATTTACACTGATCATCGCAAACAATTATTTGTGATTTCGCATACACATAACAATATACTAAAAGCACGATTAATGAAAACAACAGCATAGATGTACTTTTCTTTGACTTTTTAAAGAGTTTTAGTATTTGAATCGTGCTAATAGTTACTTCCTGTACAACATGGCAGCAGGACGAGAAGGATCAAGTACACAGCGTATTTTACACATCACTGACGCAGATAAAGAACCTCTTGAACTTCTTTTATCAATCACTGATTGGGTGTGGGTGTCGACGTGTGTCTTCTCCGATGAATGCAAATGAGAGATGGACCACTTCCAATTTTTTTCGTCTTCGCACAAGTAGCGACTGGTTTTCCTCTATAAACGTTTTCACCAATATGCACGTCATCTCTTTTTTCTTATCGATTATGCTAGAACAATGGCAAAAGATAATCAAATATCTTTTTGAAAATAAATCTACAGTGATAAACGACTAATCTTTCTAATGGGAACCCTTGTATTAGTTGTTCCATTTGTGTAGGTTTTTAACTTGCAGATAGTCCGTAATGCTTCTAACAATTAGGTTGTCATCCAATCTTGACATTGTGAATGTAACGAACTATCACAATACAATTGTATTTCAAAATTTGTTGATAAACTTTTATCATGTAGAAAAGTATTAGTAAAGAAAGATTTATTCGAAACATTGACTGAGCCAGTACAAGTACACTAAGTTTAAAAACAAAAAAATCGAATAAGATGAGAATAAAGAACTGATTTTAAATACAGTGATGCTCAAAATTATAAGAACAAGATATTTTTGATTTTTTTCTACTATGCTATATATCTGTTTTAATATTTATTTTAATCGTATTTATTTTAATGAATGTTTACTTGTTTTCAGATTGGGCCTAGCTTATAGACGATGTTTAAAGGATGTTAGTGGATGTTCATAGGTACGCTTTAGCAATATATTCACATCAAGCTTCAAGATTCTACCGTATTTCGCTTTTCACCTCTTGAGAATCATTCCTCAGAATTCAGAAAAGAATAATAAACATTTTACTTTGCACAAATGCTGTAATAAAGAGAAAATTCAAACTGTGGCGGAAATTTTGTTATGTGAATAAATCAAAATAATAATGAGGATTGTTACTGTGCTCATGCAACTCTTGTATTTTAGAAAGTGTACGTTTGTGATATAAGCTGTTTCATGAACAGCAGTTTATTATCACCTTCTAGTTGTATCATTTTAGACATGTAAACATGATCAATGAATTGAATATGAGGATACGGACAATGGAGAAAGATAATATTCTATTCAATATAAATGTTTTGAGTTTCATATTAAAAAAATTAAGAAAATCATCAATGCATTCATCTACAGCCAATGTGAACATTCTATGTTGGTATAGATAGTAGACGATTCTTGTGTGTTTTTGTCAATTGTTGTTATCTTATAATCATGATGCTTTTCATTGAGTGTTTGTTTATAAGTCTTCACATGCCAATCATCAACGGGTAATGCTTGTAATTCGTGCATAGTTCGCCATGCTATCGTAAACCAAACTAAGCCTAACATAAGACAAATACCTACCTCAATGAAATAGGCCTGTTCTTTGTGAAACCAATTGGCAGTATAGAGCACGAGACTGGAGGGCACAGCATAACCAACATTGGTTAGAGATGCGAGTAATGTGTAATATGTGCCACCGATACGTTCATCGCTGATCTGAGCAAAGAATCCACCAGTTGCTGTGAATTGCGCATAGATAATAACATCATTGAGACCGAAAAGAACAAAGAGGAGAAAATAGAAGATGCTCGGATACGAATATAGACGATAGTCAAAGGAAATAAATATAGCGATGAACGCACATAAAATGAGTCGAGGAATATACGATCGAACGATGAAGATCATTGGTCGAGAAGTTTGCGTGAGAAGAAGAGGTACGCTAGTTTTCACTAGCATAAGAGGCATCATAATCAGACCCAATTTATCTCTTGTGATCAAGCCACGGCTTAAAACAAAAATGAAGAAAAACATATGAGCAGATTTATTCGGTTGTTTACTTGTTTTCACAGCAAGTGTGAAACACATGCAA